AAAGGTGTTCATCATTGGGTTTGGTTTTGGGGAGACTTTTTTCGGTGTCTACAGCCTCAGATCCTAAGGACTCGTCTACAGACTCGGACTCGTACTCAGACCCAAACAATTCAGATTCATCAAACATAAGACCTTCGCCAGCGGTCACTTGCAACTTCTCTCCAATTCGCGTAGTTATCTTCACCATCTTGCGCCATCCCTTTGAAACATCATCAGCCGAGACAATTAACTCACAGGGGCTAAAATCTTTGCTTGATATAACAGCTTGAATGAGCTCAGAATCGTCATTGCAGACATGCTTGGGTTCATTCTATTCTAGTCCAAAAATAAGATTAATGTTCATATAGAGCTTCGACTAGCTGGTTTCTAAGTCGACGAAATCACAGTCAAGGAACATCTCGAAACCTGGCTCACGCTTCTCATTGTGGACGAAAGGCTTAGGGAATTCATAGCATGGGAAGTTTTCCCCTTCTTTGATGTACTGGCCGTTAAGAGTGAAGGGGTATGGATCCATGGCCATTTCCATCTTCGTGGTCCGAGCATTATTGCGAGCCTTCATTTTGAAGAGAGCCTGTTTCATATCTTCTTTTATTGGCTTGAATCCCAAGCCAAAGGTATCCTTCTTAGGTGCACAAAAATGGCCCCAAAGTTCAGCCATTTTCTTTTTGAGTCTGAGGGTCATTCTAGAGAAATGCCCTTGCTTCTTCATAATGGCATTAACATTGGTGTTCGAATAAGGATCAAAGTCGAGGTGACACTTCTCCTCTTCTTTGATCATGAGAACATCGTCTAACGAAAATCCCAAGAGATCTTCATCTTCCTCGTCATGTTCGACATGGACGATGGGAGTATCAACCCCTCCAAATATAGCTTTCACCTTTTGTTGCAGCGACTATGGGATTGCCTTTAGCTCATGAAGCCAAGGACGACCTAACATCAGATTGAAAGAAGCCTTAATGTCCACCACCTGAAACTTGGTGCGACGTTCAATAGCTCCAGTAGTTATATTTATCATGATAGTACCCACGGCTTGACGGCGAGTATTATCATCAGCACGAATCCCTTGAGTAGAGGGAATCAATTCATCATTTTTTATGCCTAACTTCTTTGCAATGCGGAGTGGGCATACATTGATTGCTGAGCTATTATCAACCAATCTTATAGGAACATTCATCTGCCTACACACCATAGTGAGGTGTAAGGCCTTGTTATGTTGGTCCCCTTCCGGAGGCAGATTTTTGTTAGAGAAGGAAATTAGATTACTTATACTTGACAATTCAGTAGTGAGAAAGCTGACCAGCCCTTGAGGAGTCATACCATTATCAACTCCTATTTTCACCAAAGCATTCATCACAGCCTTTCAATGCTCGTGGGAGGTGGCCAAAAGCTTCCATATATTCATTTCCACCTTAGTCTTTTGTAATTGTTTGATCACATCGTTGTTCATAGGGTCGATGGGATCGACTATTGGTTGTGATTGCGGGGGAGATGGAGGTGGACTAGGCAGTTGCAACCGTCCATTTCTTGTGAGAACCTTGACCTCAAGGTCTCCCCAAACATCTTCACTAGTGCCAAGAGATGAACAGGCTATATCTTTGAGATAGACGTCTTCATCGTCACTACCCCGAATTCCATTCACTTCCTCACAGTTTGAAACAAATACAACTTCTGGTAGAGGTTCATTCACAGGTTGAATGAGTATTAACAGATCAAAGGAGACTTTATCTCCCATGATATCCAAAGCTTAGAAAGGGGACCTACTTGAATATTGGGCTTTTTGCCCCCTGGAGGGCAAGAAGTTGATTAGCATCAATCAGGTCTTGGATCGCATCCTTCAACCTCCAACATTTCTCAGTAGTACGACCTTTGCCTTGATGAAACTTGCAATGAGCATTGGGGTCATAGCTAGCAGTTATGTTCTCTGGTCGAGGTTCTAGAAAGGGTCCAATTGGCATAATCAGTCCTTGACTATACAGGCGATCAAAAGCAGCATCGTAGCTCATTCCCAAAGGCGTGTAAACCCTCCTTTGCTTTTGGAATCTCTGAGTGGGAGCATTAAGAGCTAATACATCATTGACATTGACGTTGTTGGTAGCATTATTGGGCTTGGAAGAGGAAGAAGAAGGAGTGTCCATAAGTAGAAAAAAATGAAAAAGGCACCCCCATATTGCCACCAGTTCAGTCCAAACATTGACATCGTTCTACTTGTTTTTCCAAGTGTTGCTGTTGTTTCTACCAACAGTCTTCATCAGTTCATATTTGATATTTATCCTAATATCATACACAGCTTTGAAGGTATTCAAAGGTAGAAACTTTAAGTGCTACTTGTACTTTTGAGTCAGATTTGTAATAAATAGGCGAACCATCTCTTTCTCCTTGGGAGGATCCACCAAAAGTGCAGTTGTTTCTCTCCACCATCTTAGATAAGTAGTGAAGCCTTCATTCTCCTCCTATTTGAGAATGGAGAGTCCACATTCAGAAGTCTTGGCTTGGATGTTACACTTGTAACGGTTCATAAAGCTTTTAGTAACATCCTCCCAAGTCACAACATGTTTAGATTCTAGAGAGTAGAACCATTGTTGACAGGCATGCTCCAAGGAAAGAGGGAACATAGTATGGAAGAGTGTCACATCTAATCCCTTAAGAGCCATGATCGCAAAAAAAGCTTTCAAGTGGAACAACGGATTATCGGTAGGCTTAAACTTGGGAATGTCAGTAGTGGAAAACTTTTCGGGTGAACTCTTCAGAGATCTTACTCATATATTCTATGATCTTTTGCATTGCAGCCATAGTGACATTGTTTTGATTGTCTTGCTCTACCGTGTTGACCCTGGTAGTGAGCGTTTGCATCATGTTAGACAACATCCCAATGGACCTATTAATGTTCTCAATATCCTCCTTAGTAGCCATCAGTTGAAAGTAGACTGGAGACAGACTTTGTGGAGATGATTGTGGTGGTTTCCTTGTACGCCTCTTTGGTATAAGAGGTTGTTGAGGTATTGACTCGATCCGTAACAATCTACCCCTGCTTCTTGACCAAGTGTTGTGACATCAAAACAAACACACCTTTAATGACTAGACTTAACCTTGACCCATCCGGAAAAGAAAAAGCAAAAAAAATTATTTTTTAAAAAAAAAGTATGTATGGGAGAATAGCATCCGACTTACTCCGAAAAAAACGAAACAAAAAAAAGGACACAAGACCATCCTAAAGTACGGTCATAAAATGGTGCACGACTAAAGGAAAAGTGTGTGAACTTGACACGACATGTGAGTGATTAAGTGAGGTTATGGAAACGTGTTATGACTATACAACTAGACATGACATCAAACCAAACATACGAACCACATAAACACGCACAAAGACCAAAAAAGAATGACTTGACAAAAACCTGGGCCCCGTGTCACGGTGCTAATTGTCGTGACACAGTACAGTGCACCGTCAAACGGGATATTACACCGTGTCACGACATTGTACACCGTGGCGCGACAGGCATGCCGTTACACGGTGCACAATTCCTGTACTAAATTTGCGTAATTTCCAGGTTTTAATCAATTTTAAGTCAGTACTACTTACTATGCGGAAATAAAAACCCTCAATCATAGGTTAAACAAAATGAGCAAACACATAAGGGTTAGTACAAAATAAACCACGTAGTATTTAGTCACGATGATGTAAAAAAAGTTCGCAACCTAAGGTCAAGATCTATGTTCAACTATTGGTCAAGCTTTGGGTGTCAAAAAGGGTACCATGGTTAAGAGTTTGGACGCGTTAGCAAGGCAGCCTCCCTTGAGGGTGTATGCCAAATGACTGCTCCGCGAGTTCGTGAAGAAATCGAACTCGACTCCATGGTTTGGGTGGATTTAATAACTCAGGTGAACCCTTATTGCCATGAGCGTTTTTGGGTAGATAGAGCTTAAATCCCCGGGCTAAGACGTATGCAGAACACACACGTTTTTTCAAAAAAACCGAAGGAAGTTTACTATGAGAAGAGAAAATAAGCCACTGGACGAATTTAAGGACTGTCGTGACATGACAGCATCTGCCGTGGCGCGGCAGTAAAAAAATCTGACTGGTGCCTTGTTTTCCTTCGTTCGCAATCATGTTATTCAATTTTTCCTACAAGACATACCTAAATGTGACGTTGAAAAGTCTATACTTATGCAAAAATGCCAAATTAATCACAGGAATATTTTTCAAGAATCTTTCAAGTCTCATCCACTCATCTTAATTAAATACCGATCACTCAAATCGATAAATAACCAAGAATCCTCCCCAATGGAGTCGTCTAATTGTAGGTGTCATTCGAAGTGCGCCTACGTTAAAGCACGTGTGAATATTCTTGGCACTCATAGAAAGTGGGAATTGACATAATACGATTAGGGACAAGGAAAGTAGGGAGCCGCCAACAAGTTTTTAAGGAACTTGTAAACCGTTCATGGATCATAAAAGGCAACCACAATAAGAGGACAACGATTGAACCGTGAAAGTTACACCCCATTCATAATCCATGAGATTGCCGTGACACGGCAGAAAATTCCGTGACACGGGGGAATATTATGTGGCATGGAAAATAATTAAGCTACGGGAGATAAAACGCGTGAAAGGTTTACGTGGAAAGGACACGGTGCTGCCCCGTGTCACAGCATTGGCACCATGTCACGGGAAATCACACTGTGGCGCGGTAGTGAGCCCCGTGACTCGGTGTTTTTTACCGTGACGCGGCAGACTCTGCGTCCATTTTTCCGTCTAAATACATTTTTTGCCCTAATTTTATTCAGCCTTTTTAAGTGTCGATTTATAATTTCGGGCCATTTCTAATTTATTTTTTATTAATTGGGTTAAAATAATAAATAAAAAGGTTTGGGCCAAAATTAAAAATAAACTATGCTTTGACTAAACTTCAAGACTGATCCATGGACTATTAAAAACTGAATTTAATTAAATACGATTTTTAAGCACTCTTGGGATTACATACTGAACCTGACCAATAGTGGCGGTGAAAGATTGTTCATCATCGGGTTTTGTTTCGGGGAGGCATTTTTAGGCGTCTACAATCCCGAAACAATCTAAGTATGTACGACCATAAGCACTTCTGGATTGGCCAGTAGACATAGATTTTGACGAGAAGGAGGAGGCTCTAACCATAGGTAAATATTTCCCATTTAAATTAGTACTTTAATTTTATTAAACTATTTATTTCTTTTACCTTACTTTTATTATTTAAATCAGATGCCAAGGGTAATAATACATTAGTAAGTGCTATAATTCTGTCGATTGACGTTTGGAGTAATAATGACGCCCAATACTATGTTGAATTCAATGATCTATGCCAACCAATTAGAAAAGGTGGACATATTTTGGTTAAATTTATTAGTATGATTGCAAAGATGGAAAGTCGTTGTCTAGTTGGGGAAAAAGATTGGCATGCAATCGACAAGCATTTCAAAGGGAAGATAATTACAAATACAAGAGTAAGTATATTTGTCCTTAACCCATCCCTTTTTATTGCCTAAACATACATAATAGCCGGTCTCTTATTACTCTGAGATTACTTACTGATTTATGTATATCACTAATTTTATTTTTTGAAGGAACACTTTGTGATTCCTCCTGGTGCGGAATATGACAACCAAGCTCTCAAGCGTGCCAATAAATGTTGGAGGCAGTACAAATACTCTCTGAAAAAGCAATATTACAAGCCTTTAGAGAAGACATTAGATGACATTTGTAATCATGTGCCACATGGAATTACTAATAGTCATTGGGTAAAGTTGGTGAAATATTGGGATTCGAATAAAGGGAAAGTATGTTCAATACTAATCTTACTATGTATGAAACAATATTTAATATCTAATTCAAAATTTTATGATAAATACATACTATTTAAATGTGAATGAAGGATATGTCAGAATGCGGTAAAAAAGCACGAGCCTCCCAAAATCAGTTTCATATATCTGGCTCTTAAAGTTTTGCAAACTGACAAGCTTATTATGTAAGGACTATATATGTCATTTTATATTTACTTAGGATGGTATTAAGAGAATTTATTTTTATACGTGGTTGATATTGTTGAATTTTCATATTAAAGCTCCTGTTGCATTATTATTTATAAGAAGATGAACATGGACGGAAAATGAGCTTGTTAGAGCTGTGGATTAAAACCCATATGGGCAAAGACAGAAGCTTTCTTCCTGACACAGTGACTGAAGATTTTGTTGTATGGTTTTGTGCAGATTTCTGATATGATTTTGTGCAGATTGTGGTATAATTTTGTGCAGATTTTGTGGTCTTACATTAATCTTAAATGTTGATATAGGATGATGTTAAAGATAAGGTTGAAGAGTTGAGGATGACGTACCCTAAGATGTCTGAACAAGAGCTCGAAGATGAAGCTTTTCAACGAACTATGTATCGCGATGAGATTCCTAATCGTCTTGTGGTTATGGATTAGGGGTTAAAAAGGGGGACATTTTCGGAGTGTGTGGTGTGTTAAGGAAGGAAGGGTATGGAAAAATTCAAAAGAATACTATTGTGATGGATAGTGTTAAAGAAGAAGTGAATGCTAATAAGAATCTGAAAAACCAGGTTAGACACAACAATTTTCTTCTTAAAGCACTTGTATTCTTAGATTGTAGGTGCACTTTGTCAAGGGATTGCATCTCCGGGTCTTTTAAACAAAGCATCTGATTTCTTATGAAAAGAAAACCATCAGGTAATACTAATTATATCATGGTATTAATTTTCTCAGTTTGTTTCCTAAATTAACACTTGAAAATATATGATTACAAGAAATACATTGCATGAAGAAAATATAAGAATTCACCGTTGTCATTTTCTTAGAAAATGAAGTTGATAATTATACAAATTTTATAACTTTTGTGTTGTTAGCAGTTTATGTATATATGATTAACTGAATAAAGTTATTTCAAGGTTCAGTAATTCTTCAATCTTATAAAGAGCTCTTTTTCTACTCTATTAAGTATTTGTTTTCCTCAGTCACTTAAATAAAAATTATGTAGAGATTATGATTATGATTATGAGGGTGGTTTTTAATGGGATGCTGAGAAGGTTAAGGGTCTGGTGGATAATGCTACTACAACAATGATTCTAGCTACTCCTCTATCCCACCAATCAAAACGTGATAATACATACGGGAGTATTGATGATGATGGGACTGAGACGGGTCATAATTTGGGACCATAGTGGGTTGAAGGATCAGCTTGTTGATGCTCCGACTGAATCTTTTGTTGTAAGGTGGGAGTGGTTGCATAGGAAGGTGGAGAAGGGAGTGTTATTGCGTATGTCAGCTCTAATGTGGGCTTCATGCAGATGTCGTAACTTGACTATTTTGGACAACGAGCTGCCTGATGTGGTTATGCTGGCTGCAGGGTACTGTAAACTAGGGCAAGATTATGAAGATTATGCTAGCAAGTTCTTCAAACCAGTGGGGTAGCAGGTGTTGGGCAGCAATTGTTAGGCAGCAGCTTGGTCTGGTGTTGGGCAGCAGGGTTAGGGGTAGTGTTTAGGGATGCAGATGGCAGTGTTATTCTCACTGCTACAAAACCATTTGAAATCTCAACTCTCGAATGCTGTGAAGCACAAGCAGTTCACTTTGCTCTATATTTCCTCTTAATGAATAGAAGCTCTATATATATATATATATATATATATATATATATATATATATATATATATATATATATTACTGTACAATTGAAACTTAAGGACATGTTAATGCACAAAGCTTCAATGGTGGGTTTTGATTAGTAGCGCTCTCTTTAATTTTAACGTGTTATTAATTAGTTGTATGTTCGTTGTTAAAGATTATTTATAAGTACTAATTTCTACTTTATCAGTTTTTTTGAAGATTGGAAAAGGCAATGTAGGTGCAACAAGAGAATAAGACAGGACATCGAGGATCGCCTAAACAAGTAACTACCGGGCCATCATATGCTACTATGTCTAATTTTTTGGTTTTTTCAGATTTTGTGTTATATCTATGTAGAAGATAATCTATTAAAATATGAGAAGCTTGATGCGGTTCCAAGGCATCAATATTGTTATGATAATTATTTTTATTGTTATTTTTATTTTATTATTAGGTGACCAAATTTATTAGGTTATTTTTGTAAATTTAATTCGGTTACTAGAAGATAATCTTAATTTTAAAGATCATATTAGCAAAATATTATCTTTACAACTTAGGTTTAGTTTCTTAGTTAGATTAGAATTTGCTTTACATGATTTTTAGGCTAATTATTTAGCTTATAAATATGTGATGGTGTTTAACGAAAAGTATGATTGATTAATTTGAAATTTATAAAGTTTTACGTAAGCTTGTGCTTGTGTATTCTTGGCCTAGTTTAGGTTTAAAGCTCGTGTTGCTTAGCGTTTCTTGACCGAGACTCATGATTCCAAACCTCTCAACTGCGATTGAAGGTTATATCCATTAAAATTCATATCAAAGCCTTTTGTTTTAGTGATCGTGTTGATGTTTTTTTTTTAAATAAAAAAAATGTTTTGTTAGTTTGTTGATTGCTTTTTTTAATCTAGTTATATTATATATGTATATTATAAAATATTAGTTTTACTTCATTTTAATTATTTTAATGTGATGTTAATTTTATTTATTACAAGTTAACTGGAAAGAAACAATATAATGTATATAAAGTAATATATAATTATTATATTATAAAACGAAAAAAAAACACTAAAAAAAATCTATACGCTTTTTAATGTCAACATATTTTGTATGTTCATATTTTAAGAGTTCCCGCCACATTAAAGGCTAACACGATTAGAGATGTTAAAAAAAACCCGACCCGATTGTCCCAACCCGATTTCTCGATGACCTGGTAAATACCCGATGGGAAATTTGGGGAAAAAAATTAATTTTTTCGGGACGGGTACCCGACCCGGGAAAATTACATGTTATCCGGGTCGGGACATGGGCCGCATTTTTTAATACCCGGGTACCCGAATTCCCAAAAATAAAAAAAAAATCGCTAGTAACTACTAAGCCCAGCACACATTGCACTTCTATTTTGAATCAAAATTAGGGTTCTCAATCAGTCAATCCCTCTCTCCGCCGCTCTCTCTCTCCCTACCTCTCTATCTCTTCCTTCCTTCTTCTTCCTTGAGTTCCTTCTCTGTTCTTCCTACTTCTATTGCTTCTTCCTACGTACTTCTCTATTCTCAACCGCCTTCTCATTTAATTCCCTCACTCTCGATCTGCAATCTTGTAGTGGTCGCTGCTTTGCCCAACAATGTCGTTGCTGCTTCACCTAACTCCGCCGTCGATGGTCGCTGCGTGCTACTTCGCCCAGCAATGTCACGGTGGTCGCTGCGTTGGAGTGCGTTGTATGTTGCATGTTGCAAGAATGCAAGACTTGCGATAGAACTATGGGAGCAAATTAATTACAAATTCTTATTGTATTTTCTAATATAATTAACAGTTGCAAGACTTGCAATTTCTATTTATATTTTTTTTTTCTTCTAATTCTTTGTATATTTCAAATTTTATTATTATTATTATTGAAACAAAGCTTTGTGTAATTGGGTATTTTGTATCTTGGTTGCTCAATTGTGTGGAGTTTGGGTAGTAGATCTAAATTGTTTTTCAATTTTTTACCTTTCGGGAGCAACTTTAATTACAATCATTCAAAATTTCGGGTACCCTATGTCCCGACCCGAATTATTCGGGTACCCGATACCCGGGTACCCGAGATATTCGGGTCGGGACATGGGACAAATTAACAAGTACCCGAAACTCCGTGTACCCGGGTCCCCGGATTTGAACATCCCTAAACACGATAAAGCGTCGATAATATCAAATTACTTGAATTAGTAATGGACATCAAAAAGTGTCGCTAGATTGAAATTTTAGACAAGTAAAAACGCCAAGAAAAAATTAGACACGTATGCGTGGACACAAAATAGCGTCCCTAATATTCTAATTCTGACACCAAAAGGCGTAGCCAAATTTAATATTAAGCGTGAATTAACAAAGTTACGGTGCTCTGTATTTTATTTTAGACACAAAAAGGTGTCGAGATTTTGCGACGCTTTTTGTTGTCTAAACATATTTTCGACTCACGTATTTTCAACGCCCTTTAGAAGCGTCGAGAGCCATTTTTTCGATGCTTTTCTGTGTCAAAAATAAGGGTTAAAAGAATCCAAAAAAGCACGCTTTTTGTAGTATACATGTGTTGTTAAAATACTCACCGACACGAGTATCCCCAAGCCTAAAAGAAATGAATAGGAAAAAATAAGTTTTAAAAAAAAGTAATTAAAAGTAAAAAATTTAGAAATGAGTATGTACCTCAAGGATACGACCATGCCACGAAATGCAGATCCGAGGCACCTCAGTAGCTGCTGCGGAATCCATCACTCGGGTCACCTTGCCCATAGTTGTAAGCATACGGGCAATACAACACCTCCGCCAAACTCAAGTTACCTACTTGCTCCAAATCACTTAGGCAAATGTGTAACCCGATAGTGAAACGCTCTTCCCGATCACTTAAGATAGTGATGGAAAGAACGTGACCAATGTATATCCGAGCCATTTGCTGAGGTGTACACTGCCGATCAACCGCATCGGCCAAAACCTCATAGGTAAGAACCGAGTATGGACAAGACAACGCATACAAGTGGAGGGCTGCTGCAAGGTAGTCCCCCACAAGGTCACGCAATATCTCGTCTGACCCCTTAGCAATTTCCATGGCTACAGGCTCACCTCCGAAAGGAAATCGTTTAATCATAGAGAATCAAAGAGAAATCGTAAGGGGTAACTGTCATCTCTCCCCATGAAAAGTGGAGAGTGTTGGTGGAATCCCACCAAAACTCCAGCAACCAACGAAGGAAAGCTGACGACGCAGGCTAACTCGATAAATCC